GGGTCCTGCAGGTGTGGGAGGTGATCCTTTCAGAGAGCGATGGAAGCGGGAAATGCAACCCAAAGCAGCCTCCCAAAGGAGAAGCCGCCTTTCCCCTTTCCTGGTTTGACCTTTGTAGGCCTGTACGTTCAGGATAGCTGCTACAGAGCAGGGGAAAAAGAATCCTGATTTGTCCTTCGTGAGATCTGCAGCCCAGGATGGTACAAACCTGCGGCAGAACAACCCGTTCACAGAAACCCCTTTGGCCTCTTCCCACCAGATAACGTCACTATCAGGTTATAAGTGATTTGGAGCCCCCCGAACAATGTGAAGGTTGGGCGGCTGTTGACAGACCCCTGTGAACGCCGATATCCAGGTGAGACAGCAGATGCACACCGCTGTTCCCTGCCACGAGCCGCTGCAGTGCCCATGGGTCCCTCGTGTCCCCTCTCCGTCCCCCAGCTGCAGAAGCAGCCCCTGCACAGTCTGAAGCACACGCTGCTCTGCCATCAGGTGGTTTCTATAGGAAGCAGGACTGGCCTGAGCACCGCAGGATCTGGCAGCTCCTCCATAGCTGCTGGATATCCTCAGGTGCTGATGATATATCACGATATTGCTATGAACTACCATGACCAGCCCATAGGCACGAGCAATCAGCCAACCACCCTGGTGCAAGCAGCCGCTCCACGCATCCCACCTGCAGCATTTCCCTGAGACAGGAGAATGCCCGGGGCATTGCTTTTGTTAGTGGCACTACAGCTTTGCTAGCTGAACTGCTGCACAAACCCTGACAAGCGACACGCAGGGAAGCCTGCCTGTCCTCCTGAGCAGACCTGAGAGCAGGGGCGAGGAGCACTGTCAGCACTCTGCGGACTTAATCTGTGTCCCTATTGCAAAGCAGAGCATTGTCAGCCCAAGTGCAAGCAAAAGAATCCCAGGATGGTCTGGGTTGGAAGGGACCTTAAAGCCCATCCAGTGCCACCCCCTGCCATGGGCAGGGACACCTCCCACCAGCCCAGGTTGCCCAAAGCCTCATCCAGCCTGGCCTTGAACCCCTCCAGGGATGGGGCATCCACAGCTTCTCTGGGCACCCTGGGCCACTGCCTCACCCCCCGCACAGGAAAACATTTCTTCCTCAGATCTCATCTAAATCTCCCCTCTTTCAGCTTAAAACTGTTGCCCCTTGTCCTGTCACTAGAGGACATCTGTAGATGCATTCTAGTTGCTGACCAGCAAACTCCGAACTGGAGTCTAAACCCTGCAGGAAGATGGGGCATTTCTGGCACTTTGCTTCAAACAACTCTAAGATGGAGACAGGCATCTCCAGACACCCTTGCAAGACCAAGAAGGTGTCACACCTTCAGTTCTGCAGACAGAGGCCAAAATGGTCCAGTGAGCACAAACAAAACCATTTCTTCAAAGGAGCTGAACTCTTATTCCTAGACCCAGCCCCTGGGAAACAGATGGGGACAGCCTGGAAGCAGCACTTCTCCTGGGACTAACACATTTCTCTTCAGAAATTCTGTTTTTGGGGATGTGTCTTTGTGGCACTGGAAAGCTGAAAGCTTTGTAAAGTCTGGGGGCTGGCTATCTCTCATGGGGAGGCTGTCGGAAAGGGGAATCCAGGCACCTACACTGACTCTGGCCTTCTGGGGGCAAAAGACCCAAGCAGCCCCTGCTGTTGCCCTCCAGCAAAGACCAAACCAGCCAGAGTCTCCTGCGGGTGGAAACCCAACCACGCAATGTTCTCCTGCCCCAGGTGCCACCCACGAGTGAACGAGGAGACAGGAGCAGTCTGAAGGATGTGGACAGAGTGCCGGGCTGTGCCCCAACCCAATGGACACATGCTTGCATGGATGCACCCCAGATATCACGTAAACCCAATAAGAAGGAGTTTCCCCACTTCTAATTTTGGCAGCTCGCATTGCCAGGTGCAGAATACCAAAGGGATGAGCTGTGCCTGCTTTCTGCTTATTACACAGCTGAGTTCACCCCACATTTCTGTTTACCTCAACCCCCGTTGCCTGGGGCAGTTTCGAGGTTGCGCCGATGCTTTTACAAAGCTCCCACTGGAAGGGGCACAAAGCCGTCGTTTTATTTACGGTGCGGAGCGATGGAAGGGAGAACCGCCTGATGCATCACAGCTTGGCCCACGTGCTCCTTGTGGTCCCTGTCGGGCTGAAGTCAGCGCCTAGCCCCAGCCCCGCCTTTCTTCTCTTCTTAAAGGTTGTAAAAAGCAGCCGCTGTCAGTTTGCTGCTCCACTGCTTCCTCTTTTTGACTCTTTGCAAAAGGACAAAGCGCTTCATGTCTTGGCGTGAACTCCTTCCCCCCTGGCTGGTGATCCTCGCGGGACTGACGGGCATCGTGCTCCTTTGCGTCTCCACCAAAGATGTGCCCATCACGCCTCTCAGGACCAAGGTAAGTGTGTCTGCCTGCCTGAGGGGTGCCAAGCCAGGGGTCAAGAGGGGCAACGAGCAGAGGACCTTCTCCTCATCCGTGGGGCTGCTTCTTAAGGAGAACCTGCCCGTTTCCTTGTGCAAGCCAGGCATTTAAACTAAAACCTGGGGTGTTTTGCTGCTTTTTGCATTCATTGTGCTACTGACTTAGTTACTAGCCCAAAAAAACAAACCGAGGAGGGGAGACCAGAATAAGACCGGGAGGACGGGTTTGCATCCCTCAACAGGCTGCAGCTTTTCAAACTGAGACAAGGCAATCTCCTTGGCCGGTCAGGGAAACACAGGCGGGATGTGGTCCAGCAGCGATGCTCACCGGAGGCGGAGAGGCAGCCGGCCTGTGGAGGCAACCCCACTTACATAGGAAAATATTTGAACATAAAAAGCATTAATTTGGAACTGGATTGTGCAGGATGAATCATGAGACAAGAATCTCATTAGAGAAAAAAAAAAAAAAAAAAAAAAATTCTTGTATGCCTTCTCCTCTTCTGTCCTCCCTTGATTTTAACTGAAGAGCCAACATGCTCTGCGCAGCAGGGTCAGATCTGCCCAGCGAGTGGGGGGGGGTCAATGCCCATCCACTCTGTCTCTTGAAGCATCTTAGCTGAGGTGAGATCAGTGGCACGCTACGGTTTACTCAAGCAGAAGTGGGTTAACCTGTAAATTTGGAGACACTACCCCTCCTCTACAGTCCTCTCAGAAACAGAATTGGACTTAAAAACCCCTCATTGCTCCACGCCCTGTCCTTCCCTGGTTTGAGCTGGGGCAGAAATGCGGTGATCCCTTCTCCTCCCTTGCACTCCTGCAGCAGCCTCTTGTTTTGTGAAGGAGGAAAAAAATCCAGGTTTCTCCGCCAATATAATTCATTTCTTCCTCTTCTGCGGCAGCCAACATGTTCCTGTGAGAAATATGAGCTGTCACTCATGGGGGAGGATGCCAGCAGGCTCAGGCAGGGGGGT